TGTGTACATACAGACAATGGACTTATTAATACAGACTGACTAACAAATGACAGACCCGACCTCTCGTCAGAGAGGGCGCTACACATGGACAGGACAGTAACTTTCATTCAAAAGTTATATCTGGTCATGAGCCCCAGCTGGGGCTCGACACCAAGGCAGACAGACTGACTGACCGTCAGTGGTAACATGACCTTGCCTTGCCGAATCATCAGTCGATCATCAGTCTACGAGCTAGCCACACCAAGCAACATCAGCCAGCAGGCTTCGTCGCCAGCGCTCGGCCTACAGAGGCATCGTCGCTTCGCTGCGCGAGGCATGACTACCACGGCTGTCTGTCAGTCGCACCCGACTCACTGGGCAAGTAGGCCGCACAGACTCGCCGGTAGTCATACCCGACACATTGGGAAACTGGCGTAGCTACCGCCTCTCTGCTCCGGCGACCGCGCTCAACGACTAGCCTTTCACCAGCATCCGCCGCTCTGCGATCAAGCAACCTCCAACTCACCTGCCGCACGGCAATCAAGCAACCTACAACTCACCTGCTGCACGGCAACCAAATATCCTCCAGCCACGGCCGCACTGCGGCCAGTCCATTTACCGTAACTAACCTCTCTCCCTACCGGCGCGCGCCGCGCTACCTCTCCGGTCAAGCATCTCATCAACCACAGGCTTTTCAGGACCAACAAACTGTTCTGAAGAAGTGGGTTGTCATCGGAGTAATGACAAAACTACACATTAGAACACCCACAGTAGTAAGCATTACCTGAATTCAATCTCCTCTTATTAAGAGGAGATTGAATTCAGGTAATGAGTCAGGTTTTGATTTGTTATCGTCGTTCCCAAATATCTGAACTGTGTCACATTTTCGAAATATCTATTTCCTATTTTTATATCATGATTTTGCACTGCATTTTGGTGACGAGACTTGGTTTTCTCAGTTTTTACTTGTATACCAACCTCCTCACTTGGTTCAATTAAAGTTTGTGTTTTTCTTTATGGTAGATTCACATCATCCACATAGACCAACAGCTTATGTGTCCCGTTTAATTTTTGTCCCACCTGGTTTACCTGGACCTTCCTAATGGCATATTCTAAAGCAAAGTTGAAAAGCTTTGGGAATAAGTCACATATGTTACAATAAACGTGGAATTAATTATCAATTCCAAATCTTATTTTATAAATAACAAAACACAAAGAATTCAAAACTGAGACATTAATGAGCAACTTATAAATCAACTGAACAATTACACTGAATACTTGAACTATTGGTAGTACAATGCACAAGCATTTGTAAAATGTCACCATACTTGTACAGAACTAAGAAGTTGGTAAGCAGTCCTCAATAAAACACATACAAATCAGTTAAGGACACAAAGGATTTACATATATATGATTCATCAAGAATACCTATTATTCCAATGCGATTATATAGTAGTTAAAAAACCAAGTACAGGGAACGTAAGAACACAATGAGTATGGAAATTATGTTAAAAATTTAGTATTCTTAATTTCAGAACAAAGTATCAATTCCCATTTGCAATTCATAAATTTAAGTATAAAAACAAAAATATAATATTACAGCGTTCCGTATATAATGCCTCCTATTTTTTTTAAAGAAAACTACAACAGATACAGAAAGCATAATAATGCAGTTAAATAGAACAAGATTTCAGCTACTTACAGTTATTTTTCCACATAATCACCACCATTCGTTATGCACTTTTGCCAGCGATTAACAAGAGCCTGTATGCCGTGCCTGTAAAAGTCTGCGCCAGCAGAGGCTAGCCACTTTCTTACAGCTGCAATGACAGCATCGTTGTCCGGAAAATATTGCCCACGTAGTCCGTCTTTCTTAGGCCCAAAGAGATGGAAGTCTGAAGGTGCTAAACCGGGGCTATAAGGTGGATGTGGTAGGACAGTCCAGCCAAACTTTGCAATGTGCGCGGTGGTCGCCAAACTTGTATGGGGTCTAGCCTTATCGTGTTGCAAGCGCAAGGTTGTCTGCTCCTCTGGCCTGACTCGGGAAATGCGGGCTTTCAGCTTAGTCAGCGTTGTTCTGTAGCGTTCAGAATTGACAGTCCCTGGTTGTTATCTGCTGATCTGTATGGATGAGGCGCTGTTCGTTGTGAGGAGTGGCAGCTGAGCAGGGACGCCCAAGGCGTACATTTTTGTACACAGGTGAAGCTTGGTGTCTCACTTGTTGACAAAATTAAAAATCTGCCTGTACCCATCAGATATTAGACACACAAGGGACCGGGAGCAAAGTGACCAGAGCTTGAAGCTGACCATTCGCCTCCATTTAGCGCCGAGGTCAAGTATGTTGGAGCCATGCCCCCCGTATATCTTAAAGACGTAGATCTTAATTTATTAAGGGGCAACTTTGCCTTTATAATGAAAAGTTGTATTACATTCCATCTACTGTTGAGCGCATGAAACAGTGTATATGGCCACCAAAACTAAGTTATAAGATTAGTTTTGTGCTGCATTGTTTGAGCCTGTTTAATTACAATGTGAAGACAACGGTCTTCTTGATTGTAACAGTCTGTAGTTCAGAGAGAACCCAAAGTATTGTGCAACACAGCACTTCCATCTCCAGGGTTGAACAGTAAACCATGGAGAACTTCTTTCGACTCTTCACTCTGGCCAAAATTGTGTCAAACAGTAAATTGTAACATGTTAACAGCCAGTCACTCAGTCCTTCTGGGACGTCAGATTCAGCCAAGCTTTATTAACCGACATTAGTGAGAACCATCCTGCCATACTAAAGCTAATGAGAATGCTAATATAGGGCAACATCTATAAATTTAATAGATCAAACGGTGGGGAATTCCATGAGAATATACAGTGTGTATGTGTGTAAATTATAATGCTTACTCATATTTTTTCAAATTGTTTATTGCGCATATCCCTCGGAATCCATGTAATTAGTTGTGTTTAGGGTGTCGTTACTGGTTGACATACTGCCTACTAGCGACCCCATTAACAGCCAGTAATCAGACAACAATATTACGGGAGGGCATAGCATTTGCTAAGATAGATTTGCAAGACGATGACATCTTATACAGTGATGCGAAGGGCATCCCATAAGTGTTGAGCGAATATCTCTGTGTCCAAAGCACTACTATAAAGCAGAATACAAGCATAGTAACAATTATAAGAAGACCTCTTCTCCCTACTCTGAGTTTTGGGCGTAGCACTGCTGTGACACAGACAATGTTTAATTGTTTCTTCAGTGCTGCAGCATCCTTACACTGGCCTTGAAGAACATTTGTTTCAAGTTTGAGGTCATCCCTGGCCTTCTCTACAGCCTTTGTACCACTTGCTTGGCATTTGTGTTGTAATATAAATTTGTTCCTTTCTTCTGTCATTTCTGCAATATCCTTACACTCGCCCTGAAGATGTTCCATTTGAAGCTGTAGGTTGTCCCTGACCTCCTTTAGATGCTGTTGCTCTGCTGTTACAGTTTTTAATTGCTCCTTGATTGCTGCAACGTTGTTACACTGGCCTTGAAGATATTCTGTTTCATGCTTGAGGGCGTCATTTTCCTTCTGCATGGCCTCCAAAACTGCTGCTTGGCTTTCAAATTCGAATATAAGATCGCCTCTCTCTTGTGTGAGTTGGTCGCGCTCCATTATTACAATGTCTAATTGCTCACTGAGTGCAGCAACTTCCTTATGCAGACTCTGAAGGTTTTCTACCTCAAGTTTTAGTGCATCCCTCTCCGTCTTCAAGACCTCTATGTCACCTACTGTGGATGTTACTGTGAAACGGTTGCTATTGGCTTGACATTCCAACGAATTTATTTCTGTATTAATTACATCAGTTTTGTAGGGATCATCGTGTAGTGTTGTCTGAGGACTGTATCTCAGAATCTATTGGAAGAAATTGACAAAAAATGTTAATTTACTTCTCACAGTAATGGGCCACATAACAACAAAAATGTAACGTGCAAAAATCTGTATCTCGATTTACATTTTATAATTAAAAGGAGGCATCTGTTTTGTTAAAACATCTTGAACAGTAATTTCTCTATGTAATTTATTCTTCAGTGGTGCAACAGACCCAGAATTAACATACCATGGTGATTAATAAAAGACGCATTGGAAAAGATATGGAAATAAGCGATTGTGGCCCAGTCGAGCCACTGGAACACTATTTGCCTGAAGGCAATGGAGGAAAGCATGATAAACCTCAGAATAACCAATTTGAACTGAATAACTCCTGCACACAAGTCTAGAGTTGCCGTTGCGTTGGTATAGTGTGTAAAATTTCGTTAATAAGGGACCCTATAGTCAATAATTTCAGAAGATCCCAGAGGACAGCTGCATTTATAGGGGAGAGTTGTCAATATCGCACCAGTGCCTACACCGTATTTTCTTAATTATGAGAAGTCATATGATCTGAACTGCCAACTGGTGGATCTGTTAGATACAAATTATTATTTCAGAGCTACACCAGTAATCTGATATGTACGGGACCAAGGTACTGCCAGATTACTGGGAAAAGTTGGAACAAATTTGTTAAGTTTGCACAACACAGAAGTTTCAGAATTGATTATCATTTATTTACTTTACATGCATAAATGTGTACTGTGAACTTTTGTGCATTCAATATTTAATATGTTAATCAATTTTAATCATTATACCAGTAGCCAAAAAACACTGGGCACAAGGCTTTCTCAGACGAAATAGTGAACAAAGTGTTAGAAAGCTTGAACCTACTACAGTCAGCAGGATCCTGGATTTTATCAAAATTAAAGTCACTCTATTTCATGACAACTTATTGGCCGTCTTTTATGGGTGTACAAGTTTGGACTTAATCATATCTTCAGTGTGTAAAACTCTGCTTCAGTCAGTGAGCTATAAGGGTCAAAAGCAGGTTGGGACTGGCACAAGTATCACTCAGTCATGGAGGTTTCCTGCTAGTATCTATGCTTGCTCAGATCCATAGTGAATGAAAGAAGATTTGTTTATCATCTGACCAAAAGTTTCATCTCACATTTTCAGCCCTGCATTCAGAATCCCACATGATGAACACAAAAGTGCAAATGCCTGAGGAAGAGAAATTTCTGTTACCATAGAGCTAAAATTCGGCTGCACACCTATAACACCAGGGGATCTACTCTCAGACGACAGAAGTTCAGCAAACACCATGGTGTCACAGTATCAAAGGAAAAGTGTTGATTATGGAGGGGGTATGGGGGACAACAAATCCAGTAAGTCGTTAAGGAAACACCATGGTATGATCGAAAAAGCTCAAGCACGGAGACCTCGATTAACTCAATGAATTTCAAGCTTTCTGACTAAATAACCTACATTTCTCATAGACTGGGATCAGCGATCGAATGAAGGAAACATAATGCTCTACCGCAACAGCAAGAGCCAACTGAGGTTTTTGTTGTTGCAAACTGTTTTTAAAATCATCAGTTTGCCTTCTACTAAATGACAGGTATAAACTACCTGAAACACCCACTAGGTACTGCTGCAGAAATGTGTACTTTTTAAGAGAGATAACTTCTGCAAACAATAACCAAAAATAGTCTTTAGCAGCTCTAAGATCTAAGCTTCACGAGAAAGAAGTGTTCTCTACCAAAATGCGACAATGCTCTGAGAGCTAAAAGACATAACATGACAGACACGTGCCATGACATAATGTAAAGAGTGGATGAAAGTATGACAGTGGTGTGGACCGAACTAAGTTACCTCAGGAGAAATTTTACAAGCAGGATTTTATGCTACGACCATGAATATTCAAACTGAAATAAGTTGGTTTTCCAGCGATACAGACATGTCTCACCCTAATGCAGTTTGATAGAATCCTTGCACTTGGCCCCTGGGATTACGGTACCTCACTACAACTGCTTAGAACATTAAAATGTATCTCGAGAATACAGAGTTAGGTGACGTGAATCAGACTGAGCAGGCTAGAGGTTAGCTTTACTGCCGAGCCCACTGATCTGAGCATCTACTGATAAAACAGAGAAGGGAATGCTCACTGTGATTAGGTAGACCACACCTTTATCATGGCAGCATACTTTACCTTCTTTCTCAGGACATCTAACTCTTTCTCCAAGGCTTGTATGATTTCTTCGTTCCGCTGAGTATCTTTCTTTGCCTGTTCTCTCTGGGAATGCAGTTCACTCTCATACTCAGTTATGAGCTCATCCTTCTCTATGAGTTCGTTCCTTAATCTCTGTATTTCATCTCTTGCTGTGATAAGATGTGCACTGAAAGAAAAACAATTTTCAATTCTGCATGAAGAAGGAACTCATTTTAATATTACCCACCCACCTATGTCCTGGTATTCCTAGTGGTCTCTTCCCTTCTAGCTTTTCCACAAAAATCCTATGTGAATTCCTTATCTCCCTTATGTATGCTACATGCTCTGCCCATTTCATCCCCCTTGACTTACACCTGGCAAACAGTGCAAGTTATGAAGCTTCTCATTATGCAGTTTTCTCAAAACTCCTGTCACTTCATCCCTCTTTGGTCCACATATTCTCCTCAGCACCATGTTCACAATATTTAAAATCTACATTCCTCCCTTAATTTTAGAGACTAAGTTCCACACCCATACAGAACCACACGCAAAATTATAGTTTTGTATACTCTGAATGGTTGAAGGCATTAGCCAAATTAAATCAACTCTTAAGAGTTGTATAAGTGTATAAAGTTGTATACCTGTAATGTCCTATGGACATTTTAATGATTTTAACAATCATAGTATCGAAATACATTTTAAGTAAATGACATATTCTTGATGTCTTCTATATTGTTGTATTGTTTGCAATATCAGTTTCAAACTCAAAGGGACTAGGGTCAGGTACTAACGGCTCAGCTGTATGTATTTCTATCTGCCAAGCATCAATGGACCTATGTATGTTTAATAACTTAGGGGAGTAGTTCTTCCAATTATTCACAATATTATTTGAATCTGCAAGCAGATTGCCATTCCTATGCTTCACTAACTTCTATGTTGGTAACCCTTCTTAAACATGCATACCTTAATTGATTTTGTGTGTGTATACAAACATACCCCATAATTTTACCATACACGTGACATGGAATATTCTAATACAAAGGCTGAAGTTTTCCCCATCCTTAACTATTGAAGCACGATGCATTAAGACGTCTAGGAAAGTGGCTGTAGTGATAATGTTTCTTGGCCTCGGCACTAGTTTGAGACTTTACCACAGCCCCCCCTCCTCGTATTAATTGGATAGAAGTGTGGGTGGGCATCAGAGGTGATCTGGACGACGTGGAGAAAGTATTTTAACTGGGACTTGTACTCTGAATCCTCGTTCATGCAGCCCATAATATAAAGATATAAAATAGATTTTGTTAATATCTGATGTACAAACAATTTTATATATTGTGACGTGTTGCGCTATGGATGACGCCCCTCCCTCCCCGACAGCCGTGACGTGCCGAGCGGAGCCAAAGTGAGCCAAGTCCAAGCATGCTGGTCGCTATGCAAAGCGAGTAAACAGCAGTTGCTAAGCAAAGCCAGTCAACACCCCATCTCTCCCCGCGGTGACGTAACACGGAACACCGCAGTTGCTACGTAGCTGTAAACAACTCCTGACAGCGTTGCTAGGCTATCGGCAAACACGGCGACTAGGCAACAAGGAAGCGAGGCGTTTTCCCGTTGTCCGGCTGAGGGTTTATAAGAAACCTACAGTGCCTATGAAGACAGTTGAAGTGTATCAGTCACTGAAGTGAGTTTTCAAGGCAGCAGCCTACGAGTTGAGTTGAAATCTAGCCAGCGGAGAGTTACGAGTTAGCCAGGGAGTCAGTCAACCAGTCAGTTGTAGCCTAGTATTCGCAGGCCAAGTAATTGTAATACTGCAGATAGCAGTAGTTGTGACTCTGTAAATTGTGTGATTGTAAGAGCGAATGTGCAATAAAATTCGCTATATTCAATACGGCGTGAAGTTATTTGTTGCGTTATACATCCAACACGTGACAATTAAATGTAACGTGTTTAGTTACTGAAGACGCCGTTCAGATTATTAATTGGTTTATTTAACAACCTACAAGTCTTAAATACAATTGATTATAACACTCTTGCGGGACTTCACACTTTATAACCCTATTCGCAATAATCTCTTCACTCTTATCTTCAGTAGTCTACACGTATTCACAGTACGGGAGCTATACAAGAGTCACTGTGTTACACACTCCCAATTACTTCTCAGTTATCACAAACTATCACTGATTATCACACGCGTCCGGTTCTTCTTTCCGCGACTGCTGCTAGATTCCAACTGTGTTGCTCCGGTTCACACACTAACTCTCGCTTACTGCCCAGCCGGCTTTTTATTCCGTTCGCTGTTGCCTTGCGTGCCTCGTCACAGTAGGAAGCGGTGCCACGTAGCTCGGGGGGGCAGAGCGCTGACTCACCTTCTACGTCACCGTGGCCAGAGCTGCCACGTCACTGCTGGGGGAGGGAGGGGGTGTCCTCCATAGTGCAACACATCACAATATGTTTTAATATAATTTTTTTCATGTTACAGAGCTGTGTATTAAAACTCACCCACTAGCATCAAGATCAGCCATATTTACACTCGTCTGTGTCGCTGCAGTGTCAGTGCTCTTTGGTCTTGTGACAAACTGTAAGCATACAAACATTCATATAAGAAAGCAATATTATTGATGCAATCATGCTGATATCCCAGTTGAGTAGTTCTCATGCTCATTAACACTCATCTCAAAAAAAGCAAAACACACAAATCATTTTAACAGAAGTGGCACACTTTTGAAACAACCGTCTCTCTATATGTTTTCAACACTACATATTAAGTGGTAAGCTCCGACACCACAAGTTTCGGCGCCTCTCATAGTTTGGTATTACTGATTTTAAGAAATTAAAAAGTGCATATCTGGTGGCAGTCTCCTATGGTACAACGTCCAGCAGACTTTCAGTTGAAGCATGTCAACAGATACAGTTATTTTGACATACACATTGGAAATTGGGGCAACCAAAGACAGGAAGATGAATTTATTTGAAAATTCCTATACGCCTACATTAATGTGTGGAGCAGAAAAATGGTCAAGGACAAAGGAAGATATTGGTAGAAAAACAGGAGCTCAGATCAGACTGTTAAGTAGAGTAGGAAGAACCAGGAGGGACAGAGTACAATAAATGAACAGAAGTCGTACATCACTAAAAGTTTGTCGTAGAAATACAAACAAAAAAAAAGATGGTATGGACACGTTTCAAGAACGAGTGAAAAGTAATCCAAAAAACCAACAGGAAATTCCAAAAAAGGAGACTGAGATAAACATGGGGACAGTAATCTAGGAAACTTGTTATGCAGAAGGAAGCAAGAACATTGAAAGAAACAACAAGAAGGGGCTTTGGGAAGACAGAGATAAGTACAGAGCTTTGGCTCCTACATGATTCTCACAAAAGTGTGAATGAGCAGTTAAAATTTGTGTGCACACCTGTAACACTAGGGGGTTCACTCACAGATGATGATGGTTAAACACCATGGTTTCACGATAACAGAAGACAGTTGTCTATGGAAGATTAAATGAACCACAACTCTGACATGTCAACAAGGAAACACATATCTACTATGGAAAAATGTTAAGAACTTAAAAATAAACAAATGCAGAAAGCAATGAGAACGTGATTAACTCAACGACTTTCAAACAATTATGAAAGATAATATTTAACACATCTAAAATCTAAGTTTCATAAGATAAAACTGTTTTCCATCAAACCATGCGAAAGCTTAAAAAACCAGAAGACATACAGTGATGGAAAATTGCCATGACACAATGTAAAGAGTGGATGAATTGTGAAAGTGATGTTGTCTGAAGTGAAAACATTAGGACAGATTTTACATGTAGAATTTTATGCTACGGCTGTGAATATTCAGACAATGATAAAGAAATGTCTCACTCTAATGCAGTTTGACAGAATACTTGCGCTTGGCTTCTGGGATTACAGTATCTCACTAGAACTGCTTAGAACATTAAAATGTATCTTGAGAATACAGAGTTAGGTGACGTGAATCAGACTGAGCAGGCTAGAGGTCAGCTTTACTGTTGGGCCCACAGATCTGAGCATCAGATGATAATGCAGAGAAGGGAATGTTCTCTTTCAGTAGGCAGAACACACTTTTATCATGTGAGCATCCCTTACCTTCTCTCTTTGGACTTCTAATTCACTCTCCAAGGCTTGTATGATTTCTTCCTTTGCCTCCATATCTCTCTTTGCCCTTTCTCTCTGGGAGTGCAGTTCACTCTCATATTCGGTTATGCGGTCATCCTTCTCAGTGATTTCATTCCCTAACTTCAGTATTTCATCTCTTGCTGTGATAAGCTGTAGACTGAAAGAAAACCATACAATTTACCGACTCTGCATGAAGAAGGAATTTCTGCTAGGTAGCAAGCAAGACATTCAGCAACTTCACCATACTCTTGCCATACACAGAGGATTCCAATGAATAGGGTCATTCCCTAATAAGGGCAGCCGTTTATTTCATTAAAAGTCTGGAGAGAAAAAACAAATAGAAAATATAACCAGAATTTGCTTCACTTGTTTGGGAAATTGTGTTGTTCAACTGGGCCAGGAGCTGCCATATGGCACACTTGTGATTACTGTGTCATCAATGAGTCACCGAGTCAATCAGTATAAATGACGACTGAGCTACAGTTGCTCTCAGAATCATTATGACTGCATTTGTGAGTCTGCAGTTGAATGTGCAGTGATTTTTTGTTTAAGATTTCAGATCCCCACAGACATGCCTAGGAGAAACATAATATTCACTGACAAAACTGCCTTACTTGGAAAAATTATGTACGTTCAATAACTTAGAGAAGTAGTTCTTCCACTTATTCAGAATGTTGTTCGAACATGCAGGCAGATCACATTTCTTATCCTTAACCATGTTACTTCTATGTTGGCAACCCTTCTTAATCATGCATACATTAATTGATTTTTTGTGTTTATACAAACATACTTCATAATTTGACCATACATGTGACAAGGTATATTGTTATATAAAAGGTGAGTTCCCTGTGCTCAAATAATGAAGCATGATGCATTAAGACATCTAGGAAAGTGGATATATAAATCCACATCTTCTTAACCTAGGCACTAGTTCTGAGGTAAGTGGTCAGCTTCAAGACATGGGCGCTTTACCTCCATGGGAAACAGCCCCCCCCCCCCCCCCCCCCCGTGCNCTCGTTCGATAGAAGGATGGGTGGGCAGAGCAGGTCTGGACGACGTGGAGAAACTATTTTACCCTACTGTGACTCGTACTCTGAACCCTCAGTCATCCAGCCCATAATATAAAGATCTAAAATAGATTTCTTTAATACCTAATGTACAAACAGTTTTATATTTGAAGAAAGTAGTCTTCTGGGATTTGGCACTGTGTATATGTGGTGTTAACCGACGTTTCGGAGGAACGTATCGCCTCCATCTTCAGGGTAGAATATATACATATACCACATATACACGGTGCCAAATCCCAGAAGACTGCTTTCTTNTATACATAGACCACATATACACGGTGCCAAATCCCAAAGACTGCTTTCTTCATAGTCACCGCCATTAAAGCCTCAAATCTTACACAGTTTTACATTTGGTTTGCATGTAAATTCTTTCATCTTATAGAATATTCTGAATATCAAAACTCACCGATTATCATCGAGATCAACCATATTTACACTCATCTGTGTATCTGTAGAGGCAATGCTCCCTGGTCTTGTGACCAACTGTAAACATACAAACATTCATATAAGCAAAGTAGTATTATCATTATTGATGCAGTCATGCTGATATATTTTCATTTGCTGGCAGCCGAGTATGTAGATGGCAAAATTCTGATTAGGCTGCGCATTATAAATTCTGTTTGTGTTCTCGTACTGGCCATTAAGGACAAGGACCCCCGTCTTGCAATGTTTGTGTGAGAAGCATTGCAACAAGGGTTTGCTGGGATTTTAATTTAATTTATTTAGTGGTTGGGCTTGTATTACCTCATTTTATGTGTTTGAGTTTCAAAATGTAACGAGGGTTTCTTTTCTGCTGGTGTTCATTTGTACATGTTTAGGTTTCCATTGCCCCACTTGTGTTTCTGTTTGGTTATAATAATGGGGCACTGTTCCAAGTGGTGAGGTATATTCCTTTCTGAGTTTCTGTCTGCACCAACTGAACTGGTCGAGGTTAGTTGTTGCTCAGAATTTTGCTATATTCTGACTGTTTTCAAATGTTCCAGGTTAATAATCAAGATTATTATGATGTTATGACTGTTATAGTAATTACTGTGCTTTATTTTTTTGATATCACTTATTGTTAGCCATTGGATACCGGCTGGACAACCGAGGGGACAGAGTTTGAGTCCCAATAGGGTTAAGAATTTTCTCTTCACCACGTTGTCCAGACTGGCTCTCGAGCCCACCCAGCCTCATATCCAGTGGGTACCAGAGGTAAAGCATTCCAGGTGTGAAGATGACCACTCACCTCTTACTAGTGCCGCGGTCAAAAAAATGTGGATCTGTGTGTCCACTCCCCCATATGCCTTCATAGCCTAGTGCTTAATTACTTAAGCACATGGATAACTTTACCTTTACTAGTAAATAACGAGGCTACAATGTTATAGCAGTAAAACAGAAACAATTTTAACAGAAGTGGCATCCTTTTGAAACCACTGTCTCTTTACATGATTTCAGCATCCCAGATTAAGTGGTATGCTCTCAAACCACAAATTTCTGTACCTATCATAATTTGGTATTACTGATTGTAAAAGACTAAAAAGTGCATATCTGGAGGACAGTCTCCAATGACACAATGTCTAGGAGTCAGGTACACTGACTGGGCCTGTACACATTCATTTCATTCACACTGTGCAGAAGACTAAAAAAATGTAAGAAACCATTATCATTATTGTGATGTACATATTAGAAATGGGGATAACCAAAGAGAGGAAAATGAATATATTTGAAAATTCCTATAGGCCTAGATAAATGTGTGGAGCAGAAATGTGGACAAGGGCAAAGGATGATATCAACAGAAAAACCGGAGCTCAGATCAGACTTTTAAGTACAGTAAGAAGAACCAGGAGAGACAGAGAACAATAAATGAACAGAAGTTGGACAGCACTAAAAGTTTATCGTAGAAATACAAACAGAAAAAGATGGTATGGACACGTTTCAAGAATGAATGAAGTGATTCAAGAGACCAACAGGACAATTCCCAAGAAGGAGACAGAGATCAAGCTGGGAACAGCAAGCTAGGAAACATGTTATGCAAAAGGAAGCAAGAACATTGCAAGAAACAACAAGGAGGGGCTAGGGGGTCCACTCACAGATGATGATGGTTAAGAAAACATCATGGTTTCATTATAGAAAAGGAAAGGTGCTGACTATGGAAGATGTAAGTGGGACAACAACTCCAACATGTCAACAAGGAAACACCAGTCGACTACAGAAAAAGATCAAGTATTTAAAAAAAATAAATACAGAAAGCAGTGAGAACATGATTAACTAAACCATTTTCAAACAATTACCAAAAATAATCATTAATGCCTCTAAAATCTAAGACATATCTCATCCTAATGCAGTTTGACACAATCTTTGCACGTGGCTTGTGGGATTACAGTGTCTCACTGGAACTGCTTGGAACATTAAAATGTATCTCAAGAATACAGAGTTAGGTGATGTGAATCAGATGGAGCAGGCTAGTGGCTAGCTTTACTGCTGAGCCCACAGATCAGAGCATCTGATGATAATACAGAGAAGGGAATGTTCTCTTTCAGTATGCAGAACACACCTTTACCATGCGAGCATCCCTTACCTTCTCTCTTTGGAATTCTAACTCTTTCTCCAAGGCGTTTATGACATCATCCTTTGCCTCCTTATCTCTCTTTGCCCGTTCTCTCTCGGAATGCAGTTCACTCTCGCATTTGGTTATGAGCTTATCCTTCTCAACGAGTTCATTCCCTAACCTCAGTATTTCATCTCTTGCTTTGATAAGCAGTACACTGAAAGAGAGAAATACCATTTACTAATTCTGCATTAAGAAGGAACTTCTACTAGGTAGCAAGCCAGACACTCAGCAACTTCACCTCAGCCTTGCCTATACAGAGGATTCCTGTTAACACAGTTACTTTCTAATTAGGGCAGCCATTTATTTCATTAAATATCTGGAGAACAAAAATAAATTGAGAATATAACCAGAATTTGCTTCACTTGTTTGGGACATCATGTTGTTTAACTGGGCCAGGAGCCGCCATATGGCACACTTGATGATTTCTGTGTCATCTATGAGTCTCTGAGTCAGTCAGTATAAATGACGACTGAGCTACAGTTGCTCTCAGAATTGCTGTCACTGTGTTTGTGAGTCTACTATTGCATGCGCAGTGATTTTTTTTTTTTAAATTTCAGATCCCCACAGACATGCCTAGGAGAAACATAATGTTCACTGACAAAACTGCCTTACTTGAAAAAATTAAGAACCATCCACCTAACACCAGTCATCTCCAACTGACACGGATAACTGCAGTGCCCAAATCCATAACTGCAGGAGTTATACAGCAGCAAGAGAAACTGGGAAATCAATGGACATTATGTCATGGCCAGCCGCGAACTTCCCAAAAACTGAAGTGTGAAGGTGAAGTTCCAGATGCTGAAGAGGCCTTCAATCAGTTATTCTTTATTAAAAATTTAAGAAGTATACGTGTCAGTGGTCCAACGTTAACCACACCGATGGTGTCTCCACCTTATTGTGGCAGTGGTGGCGTTTGAGTGCTCCTGAGACCCTGAGAGCTATGCCAGCGGTTTCATTGTTACTGATAGGATCACCCAAGCTGGATAGGTCAAAGGGTAGCAGCCAGACGAAGAGAGATACCCTGGTCCTCCAGGTTTGGGGTTGTGCGTGAGGCTAACAACCTCACATCATAAAAACTGAACTATTTAGAAACCAGATAATCAAACGGCCTCCGTAGTCTAGAGGTAACGTTCCCACCACATGACTCATAGTACGCGGGTTCAAATACCCGGCGGAAGTCGTCGAATTTTTAAGGGTGGAAAAATTCTGGGAACAAGTCCTCCGGGAGGGACTTTAAGCCATGGGTCCCGTGTCGTAGCTTTACAGCATGTAAAAGAACCTCATATCTCCAAAGGAGGTCACTGAGCCAAATTACGGACGTTTCCCGCCCAACAGCAGTCTCTAATACCTCTGGTAGATGGGGAAAGCATTATAGATTCCTCTCAGCTAGTAGAGCCGGTCTCGCTGGCTGGACGGGACTGATGGTAAGCACCAGTACCGGTAGGATATAGAGACTGGTAGAAATCATAGAGGGAAGCACAATGGACCAATACAGGTCTAAATGCATGGGGAAACCCACCCTCTCCAATACTAACTAACTAACCAGATAATCATCTTCAGATGGATGGATTGAATGGAAATCGACATCAGCAAAGGAGCACGAACAAGATTATAATGGCAACGTGGAATGAGAGATCAATGTTGCAAGCTGGGAAGATGCAAGATATATACAACAAGATAGGAAGAATCAGGTTGGGATGGTTGGAGGATGTACATGATGATCTCTGTATAATGAAAGTGAAGAGATGGGCAGGAGAGATGAAGAACAGAGAAGAATTGAGGCAGATTGTTCAGGAGGCCAAAGCTTACCCTGAGCTATAGTGCCAAGGGGAAGGAAGGGGAGGGTCCAATGTTAAGCAGTAAGCCAGGGGAGTTAGCTAAAAACCTGGGTCATTAGGATCTCAAAGCAACGTATACTCGGTTTTCTCAGTGATAATTCAAGGTTTGGAATAAGATTCAAGAAGGCACACAGCAAGAATGAGGTTACTGATGCTGGAACTACGGAATAACTAAAATCCACAAAGGTGTCAAACTTACATGTGCAGATGATATCTACAATGCTGATGCCAATCTGCAAGCAGATCACCATTCTTATCCTTAACTTTGTTACTTCTAGGTTGGTAACCCCTGTTAAACATGCATAAATAAATTGATTTTGTGTGTGTGTGTGTGTGTGTGTACAAACACGTTTAATAACTTGACCATCCATTTGGCAAGTCATATTGTAATATAAAAGGAGAAGTTGTCCTGTGCATAACAATTGAAGCACAACACCATTAAGACGTATAGAGGAGTGGATATATTGATTCATGTTTTCTTGATCTCGGGTCTAGTTGGAGGTGAGTGGTCAGCTTCAAGCCTTGGCTGCTTTACCACAGGAGAAACAGCCCCCCGGTACATGTTGGATTGGAGGATGGGTGGGTCTCAGAGCCAGTCTCGACAACATGGAGAGAATTCTTTATCCTACTAGGATGTGAACTCGAAACCCTCGGTTGTCGAGCCCATAATATGAAGAAATAAAACAGATTTTTTTAATATCTTATGCACAAACAGTTTTACATTTGGCTTCAATCTAAACTCATTCACATTATAGAGCTGTATATCAAAACTCACCCATCAGCGTCAAGATCATCCATATTTACATCTGTCTGTGTCTCTGTAGAGGCAATGCTCCCTGGTCTTGTGACCAACTGTAAACACACAAACATTCATATAAGCAAAAGTAACATTACTGGTGCAGACATGCTGATATCCCAGTTGAGCATTTCTCATGTTCATTAACGCTCATCTCATTTATAATTATGTTAAATTGTAGGGGTCTGAGCCACATTCTACCTGACAGCTCGAAACAGTGACCAGTATCTGATATATTTCCCCCTCCCCTGAGGCATCCATGCAATTATGTCCTTTATTACGTAATACCATCATTCCCATATATCATGTGACTCCCCCTTCCTCCAGATGTTTATGCAAAATGCTTCATCTAGGTACTGAGGCTTGGAAAGGGGTGTTTTCGTTTGCTCACAGCCCAGGAGGAAGGTAATGAAATTCTGTTTAGGTTGCACATTCTAAATTCTGTTTGGATTCTTATACAGGCTGTTGAGGGCGAGTGACCCCCTTGCTGGGATCCACGTGTCACGAGTGTTGCAACAAGGGTTTGCTGGTGTTTTAATTTAACTGAATTTATTGGTTGGGCTTGTAATATCTCATTTTGAGTGTTTGAGTTTGAAAATGTAACAAGGGTTTCTTTTCTGATCTGGTTTGTTTGTAGGTGTTCAGGCTTCCATTGCCCCACTTGTGTTTCTGTTTGGTTATAATAATTGTCAGTGTTCTGAGTGGTGAGGTACGTTCTTTTCTGAGTGGTGAGATACGTTCTTTTCTGAGTTTTCGTCTGGACCGATCAAGCTTGTCAAAGATAACAGGTTGCTCAGAGTTTTGTTATATTCTTACTGTTTGCACATGTTACAGTTCAGTGATGAAGATTATTAGTTAATATCATTGTAATGGTAATTATTGTGCTTTATTTTTTTAATGTCATGTATTGTTATTAAATATTTATTTTTGAGGTACTGGTTTTTCTCTTGAGAAATGCTAAAATGTTTGACACCCATCCATCTGCGGAGCATTGTGGACACAACAAAAGAACAAGGGACAAATGCAGTGATCATTCCCTCAAACTATGTAGGGCAAAGAGGGATCAACCTGCTAAGGTTTACACTGAACATGACAGGCTTATGCAATTTAGGTTGATACTGGCTGTAAATTTTTTAGAGAAAAAGGGTTGAGTTCATTTTCTCAACATCTTGTGATTGTTAGTGGTTTAAATGATTATGCCATGAAAAGGGAAGGTCGGAGCAGAAGGAAAATCACAGGCAAAGGAAGGTATCAGTATAGAAACAGTAGCTCAGGAGAGAGAGAGAGAATAAGAAATCAAAGAAATGAGACAGAATTTAAAGATTGTTACAAAAATAATATGAACAACTGAAAAATATGTTATTGGCCCATTTTGAGAATGAATAAAAACATGATCCCAAAAGATCTACTGTCCAAGAAACTAAAAGGAAAATGCCTATGAAGAAGCCTGATATCAGGACAGATACAAGTCAGGGAAGATGTCATACAGAAGGAAGGAAAAACATTGGAAGATCTTAATGAGAAGTAGCTTTGGGAAAACAGAGATACATGGAAGAGGTATCATATGGTACAATGGAAATGGAGCAAGAAGACAAGAATAAACAAACAAATAGAACATAGAGATCTTGTTTAGCTCAGCTGCTTACAATTCTTGTTGTCAGTGTAACATTGTAGGGAACAACATTAACATGCATCTGAGGCATACAAAGTATGGTTATGTGAAGGGGCCTGAGCAGACTAATGGTTAGGTTTACAGCCGTGACCCCAGATCTGAGCATCTGATAATACTACAGAGAAGGTCATGGTCACTGTGTGCAGGGAAGTCTCACCTCTGTGGTCATAACTTGTTTGAACTTGTATTTTCTTGTGTGCTGCCTTGCAGCTTCCAAATCCGTTTTCAAGTTCGCGATAAATTTACCATCTACCTGTTGTTTACATAATAACATATTCAAGTTATTTATTATCTTCTGTTTCTTTGATACTTCCATCTCTAATTGGCGAATCCTAGTTTTCATATTAAGCACAGATTTCCTGCAAGAAAAATATTAGTTTAGTAACTCTGCATGTAAATCAACTTCCTTTATGTAATAAAGCCAGAGCTTGATCATAGTCTTGCAACACAGATATTTCTGTACAGCAGCCCTGTCCAACGTGGAGCCTGCGGGCGCCATGGCGCTCGTGATATATTTTTCTGGCGCCCTCCGTAAGCACATATAATTGACCCGATTTTTAATATTAATTCAAATTGTAAGACGAGACATTTTTGAACGTCTGAGTACTGTTAAATATTTTCACAAAATTTCCTTGAAGCATGGTACAGTATTAAACATTCCTTGAAAATGTATGCCTATTTCTTTTCTCCCTTGCTAACAACACCAGTCTTAATTCTATTTTCACTAGAGAAACCGCCGTCCTCTCAAGATCAGGTAATTTTCCCTAGCGGTATTTTTACCCCCCTCAAACAGCCGCAAGTCCCCACTGAATCGGCTTTCATGGATTTCGGATTTATGGTCAGGGTACCATAAAATTTTCTGTGATCGGCAGGGCAAACATATTCACCGACACGAACATGACTATGGGCCCCAGCTTACCGTAATTTCCATAATTTCTAAACTCATCGGCAATATGAATCAAAGTTACTTTAATCCCAACAAAGCGATGCCGCAAACAATTAGAAGTTATTAAGAGGGTCCTACACTAATGGAAATTGGTAGTAGCTATATTTCCAAGTTTGCTTTCTTCAGCCAAACATTCAGTATTACTTGCGAGTTTGTGACGACCAGAGTTCAGTTGTTATGTGTCTTTTGTTGTGACAAGTAGTACATTCAAGTAGTTACACAGTTGTCAGTGTATTTTAGTTATTGTGCTTCAAATTATTGAGCAAATAAGCAGTACTATTTTATATAGCTATTTTTGATATGCCTAAAAGACAAAGAAGTTATAGTTTTAACAGTGAATGGGAGGAGCAGTATTGTTTTATTGAATACAGAGGAAAACCTGTGTTTATTGTGTAATAGTAGCGTGTCTGTTCCTAAAAAAAGTAATGTAGAGCGACATTTTTTGACTAACCACAATAACTTCAGCAATGAATTTCCTGTGAAATCTGAACAAAGAAAACAAAAGGTGAAAGACCTAAAATCTAAATTAACCTTGCAACGACGTGTATTTACAAAGCCTATCCAGCAAAGTAGTAACGTAACAATAGCTTCTTATAAAATCTGTCATGTGCTAGCTAAAAGGAAAAAACCTTTCAGTGATGGGGAAATAGTTAAAGAAACTATGACCAGTGCCGGCGACTCTCTGTTCGATGGTCACAAAGATAAATCTGCACTTATGTCTTCCATCAAAAGACTTCAGTTGTCTCACCAAACTGTTGCTACATGAGTTGAACAGATTTCTGAAAATCTGGAATCTCAACTACGTCAGGATTTGCAATCATGTGAATATTTTTCACTCCAGCTTGATGAAAGCACTGATATATCGGATGTTGCACAATTATGTGTATTTGTTAGAATGGTTTTTGGCGATTTTACGGTAAAGGAAGAGTTTGTTAAACTGCTAGCACCTCTTGAACATACTAGGGGAGAAGACATATTTAATGTGTTCCTTAAATTTGTGAAAGAATGTAACTTATCGCTTTCTAAACTTGTTGCTATAACTACAGATTGGGCGCCTTCAATTATTGGTAGGAACAATGGGTTTCTTGCTCTTTGTGCTAAGGATGAATCATTTCCCAGTGTTCTTTCTTATCACTGCATTATCCACCAGGAAGCTTTATACACAAAGGTTTTGAAGTTCGACCATGTTGTGAATGTAGTAACTCGTGTGGTAAATTATTTCAGATCGTCTTCTGCTTGTCATCGATTGTTCAGAAATCTTTGGAATGTGTCGGACACTGAGCATGGTGACATAATTTTCCATGCAGACATAAGGTGGCTTAATAGGGGGAAAACACTGGAACGATTTTTCTGTTTTCTGGATGAGGTCAGGGACTTTCTGAAATCATCTCCTGGCCAATATTATCAAGAACTTGATGAAATATCATGGCTACTAGATTTAGCTTTCTTGACAGATATCACCTCAAAATTAAATGAGTTAAGTCTTGAATTACAAGGGAAAGATCGTAACATTTCAAGCATGATAAGTGTAGTTAATGCTTTTCAAAAGGAAATAAAGCTATGGATTGCACATTTAAACAGAAATTCCCTTTCACATTTTCCGCATATGAAATCTGTTGTGGAAACCTTAAATGGCTGTGAATACGATCTTCCATCTTTTGCCCAGCATCTTGAAGCCCTTGTGACCGAATTTGGTAATAGATTTAGCCAGTTTTCAACACTTGAACCAGTGACAATGTTTATCAGTAATCC